GCCCCGATGCCTGCCTTCGGGGGCGAGCGCAGCTCGGTGACGAGGTAGCTCTCGAGAACGCTGCCTTCGAGGAGGACCTGCTCGCGCGCCGCGATCAGGGCGAGGCGGGCCGTCAACCCGGCAAGTTCCTCGAGCTCCCCGTTGGGCTTGCCTCCTCGGCCTGGGGCGACGCATTCCTGAGACCCTGCGCCCTGCGAGCCTCCGCCGCGCGGGCGTGCTTCGATCGGCCCCCGTCGTCGGCCGCCCTTGGTCTGCTCTCTCCACAGACCGCCATTGCCCGCGCGGGGCGCCCCCCCCCCCCCCCCCCGAACAGCCCCATGTCCTAGTCGGCGGACATCTCTGAGAGGCTGGGCGCGAGGCTGGCAGGGCAAGCGGGTGCAAGCGCGATCGTTATAGAGAGACAAGGACGTACAGCGTGAACCGCATACCCTACAAATCATAACGGAGTCAGGCTCAAACGACGGTCTCAGCGCGGGGGCCTCGTTGGCCAAGCAGCGCCCAAAGTTAACGGCCCCGTGGAGGTGCTTTTGTGCGCTTTTTCTGTCCCAAAGTACCTCCCGACAGGATGCGCGATGGTTGGTTACCGTCAGGACCTGAGGCAACTTGAACGAAGTGTGGACCAGGCGCAAGTGGTTGACCAGCCCCTTCCTCGAAATGACTGCAACCCTGCACGGGCCAGCCCCGTCGGTCCACGGGCGCCTGAAATCCACCGAGACACTTAGAGCACCTTCTTTCAGAGCCTCGGAATCTACTGGTTGGAGGCCAGGGGAGGCAACTTCAACATCGAAATGCCGACTACGAAGTACTCGAACGTCAATATTCACGAAGTCCTGAGATACCTCAAAGTCGAAACGCCCCAATATCGATCCTCCCGCTCTGGCCCAGCACGAGGCCGCATCATCGCTCCACTTAGTGGGCTCCTCAAGGCCCCCCTGGAACTGCGTGGCCCACCCAGAGGGTTCGCGCCTACCCCCGGAGACCCATTATCCGCAAAAACCTCGGTGCGTTCAAAAGAGAGAGATCCAATGCCAGCTTGCGCGAGCACGGACGTCGCCCGCGCGCGCGCAGCCATCGCAAACGACGGACCTGGAGCTCACAAGCAAGAGAAGAGCGGCGCCACCACTGATACACCTCACGAGTGGAAAGACATCGACGTCGCCCGTCCTCCTCCTCCTCCTCCTCCCAGCTGGCCTCACCTCTCATGGTTTTCTGGCAAGACCACCGACGGCCAGCTCCAAAGTCTGCAGCCGAGCCGCCGTGGGCACATAAGTCTCCTACACCTGCAAGCGCTGTGTTGGCCGCGTGACACGGCATATCACATCTCTATCATCTGTGCGGCACCCCATTCTGGAGCCAAATTGCCCCACCCTGTAAAACGCAGCTTTCGTGGCTTTGATTCAGTTCGCGAGCTCAGCGCCGAAGCTCCAGGCGGGGGTCAAGAGCGGGCCTGGGCACCGCGCCTCGTCCGTCGCCCGCGTCTCCAAGCCCCTTCAGGGCCGCTGCAGCGCCTCGCCGAGAGCTCTGGGGGGACTCTGAGGAGCGCCTCCTGGCTATTCTCGCTCCTCTTCAAACCTATCTCGTCGAGCTCCTGACCCAAGAACTCGTCGTTGTCCCTGAGAACCTTCAGAGAATATCTATGTTGAAGAGGGGGCCTACAATCAGCTTCTTTAGGGGATCATCCGCGAACTTCTGGGGCCCCAAGCACGCCCGTGCAGCCCCTGGGATCATGGCCCCGGGGGCCCCGGGCCACGCCAGCTGCTCGCTCTCGGGGTCGGCCCCCATGCGTCGCTCGAGCCAGTGGTCGACAGGTGGCCGACATGCACGCGCGAACGATCGAACCGCGCACGGATCGCCCCAAAAAGTCCTGCAACCAGGTCGAATAAGGAAGGGGCCGTCGGCAGCAGGCCGGACGCAGCTGGCCCTCCGAAAACGCTGACGACATAAGTTCAAGTCCCTGGGCTGCACGAGGGCGCGAGTGGCCTGACCAAGCGCCCCCACTTCGACGACGCGAGGGCGTCGGTCAGATCTTTGAGCGAGTCGACCCACGAGTAATTGCATGCGAGAGGCGCCAAGAGAAACACATGTTAGCCACGATGGCATCCCCCCTGCGACGAGCCCTCGAAAACCCGCGATCACAGTAGGAGTCGATATACTTCGGCCCGATACGCATCATGCCCTCGACAAACCTCTTCCCCGCAGGATCAAGTCCGCGCGTCGCCCCTTTTTCCTTTCGACCCAGGCGCAGCCGCCTTCGGCGGAGCAAGCACTTCCTTATGTTCCACGGACCTGGAACGATATCCCAGAAACGAACCATGCATAATATGTTGTGCAACCACTTTCGACAATCCGCTCCATCAGTAATCGCGCGGTCAGTGCCCATCCCCGGGCGCGAATCTCCACTTCGCTGCTCGGAAGGCGCCCGAGCGGATAGAAGCCGCAACTCCTAATGCAAGGACCAGCCTGGAACACTTCGCCTCTTGGACGCACGCTTACAATATCGTTCCATTTGTTCCATATCGATAACAGATCTGGACCGTGCTTGTTGCTTTCATTCGTCGAACTGCTCTGGAGTAGGTGCAGGCAGAGACCGCAACTGTTGCGCAGCCGCCATGTCATCCCCGGACGCCCTCGACGCTCGGAGGCCACCACTGCCCCCTGGCTGAAACAGGTGTGAAAACCATTCGTCACCTGTAGGAAGCAGTCCATTAAGTCTGCTGAAATCGCGACTTCCTTCCATTAAGTCTGCTGAAATTACGACTGCGCCACGAATTTCACATCTCATCTACAATCTGCTCGCGCTTCCGTTGCTGATCAGCTTTGAAGAGGGCCTTACACTGCTTGGTCAATCTGGTAAGTGCATCACAACATTGCTTGCGTTCGTCACTCGGACGACCGTCGCCCAGCGTTGATCGAAGATCCCGCCTCCGAGCTAGTAGGTCCAGCCGACGCTGGGCCATCAAGGATCGAGCAGCGCCAGCAGTGGGTCCTTTTGGAATACTTCTGCACCCGCGGTTCGAAACAGCTCATCAAACTTTCCCACCGCGATATTAATATCCAAACAAGCATTCTCAATACTTGTCCACTCCTGTTTGAGGTGAGGTTCCACTAGTATCATGAACTGCTCCCTCATCGGGCCACCCTTGATCACCTGCGTCAGTTTGTCGCGAACCCACTGGACATGCTCCATATGCCTGCCGTCTGGGGTAATCTCTTCAGCTCGTCGATGGACAATCGAAACATGTGGCACTCGAGCGTTCGCAAAAACAAGTATCTGATCTTGTGGCGCAACACAGTTTATCACTTGCAGTCGCCTCCCCAATCTGTGTATGGGGCTGGCACACGTAATCTGTTCAGACCAGTAGAGTGGTAGGGGAACGTAATCAATCATCGACGTACCCCCTTCAGAACCATAGTATGTCGGACAGTATGAACGTATTGTCGTTCGAGGAAATAACCCGAACTCGTGCGTGATTTCTCGAAAGCTCTCCCAGGCCCCTCCTCGATGGTACTCTTTGCCTCGTACTCTTCCCTCACTCGGACCATCCACATCAACCCATTCCCCAGTAACTTTAGAGGTGCCCAGGCCGTCATTGATGTCCCCCATCAGTATAGGATGTACTCTAGATGGCAAGCCCCAGCACATTCACGAACCCAGTCTTTCATTTTTCCACAACACGTTAAATACTGTTTGACCTGCTGAGCTCCCGAGGGCCTTGGGGGGAAATAGAGAAGGAACACCAAGTACAGGAACCTTCCCCTGGACAGCTCCACAGCTAAACCACGGCCTTGTAGGGGTCCAGGGGGCACGAGAATTTTGCGTATGTTTCTTTGGGTCCACGCTCGAGGCAGCAACAGAGAGCATCCCGCAGCTCATGTGACAAATCCTCCTGCGCTCCGTCCCGCATGAACTGCCAGTCGTTCCCCGAAACATTGCACCCTATACCCTTCGCGATCATGCGCTCGAATCTGTGTACCTGGGAGGCCCACCACCCGATTCTGAATAAGGTCACTGAGACGATCATCGCAAGCAAGAAGGGGATTGTACACCATAGGAGAGAGAATCCGAGCTCCCATGGCGCTGGCCGAGGGCCCCTGATGGGAGGAAACAGGCCATAAGAAGTGGCTTCATGACCTGTTGTGCTGCGCAGCCCTGCAAGCCATGGCGGCAGCTGGAGGAGGAGGGGGAGGAGGAGGAGGAGGAGGAGGAGGAGGAGGAGGATGAGGAGGACTGTATGACGATACCCTTCGTGCGCCCCGTGGATGCGGAGCAAATGTGGCTGCTTAAGACGGGGGGTCGCGCCAGGTCTGCAGGCCCACGGGGCGCCGGTCTTCCACAGAGAGGGGGACAGGCACGCCCTGCAGCGGTCACGAGTCCTGCAGGGACTGGTGTTGTGGGTCGGGCATGCCCTCCTACAGGCAGGTTCAGGAAGGAAGGTAAAACAGAATCAACAAATGCTCAGAAACAGTCAACAGAAACAGTCCAAACGTCGTCCCCAGACAATGTGTTGGGGTTCTTTGTGAATACTCGGCCTGTAGAGGGACGCGCCCGGTCAAACCTGTGAGCGGGAGGGGACTTGGGATATGAGGGGGTGCTGATGAATCGTGGGTCTGTTTTGGTCATCCTCCCTCCCGTAACAGATAACGGCAGCGCCCCCACCCCCCTCCAGAGGAGAGGCCTCTCGCGCGACGGGGCTTTGTCCACGTCCACGCACCGCGACAAAGCACACCGCTCGCGGGGTGGTTCCCCGCTCTGGGCACGCCGTGCGCGTGCGGGGGAGGCGGCGGGACAAGGGGGACTGTGGGCCACGCGGGCCTGCCGAGGCTCCGCGGAACGCGCGCCAGCGCCAGTGTGCTGGCCCACTCGAGCCCTTCAAAGGCAGAGCGCAGGCGGTGTCCAGAGGGCCGGCACAGGCTGCGTGTCGTCGGGGCAGGGCACGCGCGGGGCCAGCACACATCCTGAGGATCATCGGATCTCGAGCGCGGGTTGGCCCCGGTTCGACCTCGCCGGCGATATGATCGACGCCCCTCTCTTGTAGATCTGCTGGGCCACCATGACCAGCCTCCGAGCGTCCTCGGGAAGGCGAAGCAAAGGGTAAGGAACGATTGAGGGGTGCGGAACAAGGGAAGGATGAGGGAGGAACGGGGGGAGAGGAGAGAGTCATCAATGATGCATGCATAAAGGAGGGCCTTACGCCAGCAGCTTGCGCGCCAGCTTTGGGCGCAAAGGGAGGGGAGGATGAGGAACACAGAAAGCCCAGAATGTGGCAACGATACATAACGGTGGCGCACACCATCCCATCCCAAGCTCCCTCCCATTCGTATGTAGAAAAAGCATATGTAGAATTACGTATGTGCGATAGCCAGCGTGGACCAAAACATTGTGTTTCCAGCATGTATTCGGTACAGTCTAGACGGGATGATCCATGTGGTGCGGTCCACGAGACTCAATATATGTTGTGCAAATCCAGTTGTGTAGTTTGCGTGGTGCAATTAACACATGTTCATTTGTGTGTAGTCAACTCCATTGCTCGCGCAACCATCCCACCCACACACCTGCACTTAGTTTGCAAAACCCACGCGACGGCGATTGCGATGAATGTTTGGCGCTGATTGGCGCACAGATGCGGCCGCGCTGGCGCGGGCAGACTCGCGCGCAGAGCGGCCAGCAAGTGTGGCGCGACCAACGCGGCCGCGATGACGCTGACCGTTGGGAACTTCCCAAAAGCGTCTCGCAGGCCGCGCTGACGCGTAGGCACTTCAGTGCGAGCCGATGACTCGGGCGGGCGAGGGCAACGGCAGACACGACGACGATAGTAGCGATGCTGGTGACGATTCTAACGATGACGACGACAAGCCCAATGACGGCGCCGATGCTGATCACGCCGATGAGAATGATGGTGAACACGTGTCGGCGATGAAGGTTTAAAGCGGATATCGCCATGCCGGGGCGGCCGGCAGACGCGAGTAGCCCGCATGGTGTTATTTGACAGGGAGCCGACACTTCGACCCTTCCGCCCCAGGAGGCCCCCAGGAGGTCCCAAGAGGCCTCCAAGAGAGCCCACGAGGCTCCCTAGGGCCCCACGAGGCCCCCACGAGGCCTAAACAGAGGCACCGAGAGGCCTCCAAACGGCGTGCAAACTCAAGAGGCTCCCAAGAGGCCTCCCACGATATCCAAACGAACGTCCAAGAAGTCTTCGACCCCCAAACCCACAACCCACAAAATGTACATTCGCGTATACATGTACATTGATGTTTATTTATGTATATACACATGAAATTAAACATTGGGCAACATCATAGGCAAATTGCGCATCCCCTGGGTGGACGGAACAGCCCTCGGGGGGGGAGATCCGAACTCCGATCCTGAAAGGGGAATCTACGTGATTCAATCAATGTCGTGGAATCTACGATGTGCACATTGTGTAATTTAGGCGCCAAAGCGGCAACGAGGCGGCGATGGGGCCGCGACGGTGAACGCGGAGCCGCCAGACCGCCACCCAAGCCCAGACGACGGGCGGCGACGAGGCGGTGACGGCGAGGAGGGTACCGCCAGACCGCCACCCACGCCAAATTCGTTGGAAAAGATTCAAGAAACCCAAAGTACAAGCATTGGTTGGCGAGTATGTGTGTATATAGTTATATATGTATAAAAAATGTGTGTATATATATATATATATAGATATTCCCAAAACGGTGTTTGCATTCATGGGTTCTCACGTGTTTTCACAAAAAAATGGCCTGCGTGTTGGTCCGGCGGCTATATCACTGCAGTCGCCGCCTCGTCGCCGTCACTCGTCTGAGCCTGCATGTTGGTCCAGCGGCAATGTCGCCGCCGTCGCCGAACAGTCGCCGCCTCGTGGCCGTCCGTGTTCTGGGCCTGTGCGTCGGTGTGGTGGTCATGTTGCCGCCGTCGCCGCCCCGTCGCCGCCTCGTCGCCGCCACACGGGTTGCTCCAGAGTTGTTGCACAACACAAATTACACGACATAGACTGCACAACGTAGATTGCACCACCTATATTGCACCACGTAAATTGCACACCATGGTTTGTACGACATAGATCATACAACATAGGTTGCACAACATTGATTGCACACCATGTCTTGCGCAACGTAGATTGCACCACATACGTCGCTCCACATAGGCTGCACCGCATATGTTGCACCATGTAGACTGCACCGCATAGGTGCATCACATCGATTGCACCACCTAGATCGCACCGCCTAGATTGCAAAACGTAGATTGCACCACACCGGTTGCTCCACGTAGATTGCGCCGCACAGATTGGGCAACACGTGCTGCTTCCCACAGGTTGCGACGCGCAGATTGCACCGCGCAGGCAGCGCCACGCTTTGATTGCTAGACGCACGCGCACCTAGTTTGGGGTCCACGCTAGCTAACACACGTTCAACCACACACACAGACACACACACACACACACGTATACACATCTTGATACTTGTATATATATATGTGTACATATACACATACAACCATGAAAGTATATATACATATATATACATATATATACACATGTTTCTGCAACTACCCAGACAAGAACTCACTGTCGCTACGGGGAGAGCCCCCCCCCCCGGAAAAGGCGCGTGCCCCGTGGGCCTGGCGGCCTGCGGCCCGGGCGGGGGCCCGCCGCCGCCCCGCGTCGGCGCTCAGCTGGGCCTCGAGCGGGCGAGGGCGGGCGCGTGGACCAGGAGGAGCCGGGGGCCCGGGGAGGCCGGGCGCCTCGTGTGCCTCTGGGGGGCCTCTCGGAACCCCATCGGGGGTCTTTCGGGAGACTCTTGGGGGCATATCTCGGGCGCGTCCCCCCGCAGGGAGATTTTCGAGGACAAATGGGAAATACTGGAAACGTGCCCCAAAATGAAGGAACAGCCCCCGGACTACTCTTCGACTGTTTTTGAAGATTCCCCCTGTGGAGGGACAGGCCCGACTCAAACCTTCAACCTAGAGGCGGTGAGAAGACGAAAGAGCCCCGCCACCAGAAGCGGAGGGCCCCTCGCGTTCCAGGTCGGCTGCCAGCGAGGCGGGGGAGTCGCCGGGCCCTGCCCCCCCCTCCTCCATCTCCTGCCTGCCCTTGCCGCTGCCGCTGCCGCTGCCGCTCCCGTTCCTCTCCCCCCCGCCCCCCGCAAAGGTGCCCCGTGCCCCTGCCGAGTGGTGCTCCTCTCGATGCTGCTGCTGCTGCTGCCGCTCCTGGTCCTGCTCCTTCTGCCAGTGCCCCTCCTCCTCTTCCCGATCCGCCTCCTATCCCTCACCTTGTGTTTTTTTTCGTTCCCAACCCCTCACCATGCTGGTGATGCTCTCCTCCTGGCCCTCCCTCCTCGTGCTGCTCGCTCCCTCCTCTTCCTGCGCCGCCTGCTGCGGCTCCCCACCTTCCCGATGCCTCTCTCGTTTCTCCTGTTCATGTGACGCAGGAGGAAAAACTAGCACAGCCGGCCTTAATTGGACAGGACACGCCTTATGAGGGCCACGCTGCCACAGAAATGCAGGAGGCACGGGTCGCAAGGCACAGGACACGAGGGCACCCTTGACAGGGTCGACCTACTGATCCAGGACGCCTGTACTGTGTGTCCTCCTCGGAGCTGTGCGTCCGACCCGAACATGTCATACAACCATCTTGTGGTAGACCGTTCCCCGAGCGGTATGGCCAGAAAGCGCCCACCACGGAGCACATACTAGAAGATATCTCGGCGCGCGCGTCGCCCCTGGGGGGGGGGGGGGCGACGCACACACAGTATCAGTCGCATTGGGTAGCTCTCAGAAGAAGGCATCTGGATCCGCCACCACCGTGCCTGGCCAGGGCCGTGCCATCCTGGGCCACAGCACGGTGATCACGCCCTCCCTGTGCTCGGGCACACGACGATGGTCCTGGCCAGGAAAAGTGGTGTAGAGATGACGTATGCGGACACTGTCCCGCGATAGGGATGCAAGCCCTTTGGACGCCCATGTCGAAGCTTCTCGAGCGGGGCTGGCCATCGAAAGCGGTTGAGGATGGACCGAAGATGACCGAAGAGGCAAGGATGCAAGAGTGCCCTTAGAATGTCGATCATCCTTACTTCAGTGCTGACTGAATGCCGCTACTGCTCCGATTCCTCCTGCCCTCCTCGGTAGACGCGCAGGCCACGTCGACGGAGAAAGGGTTGACAATCAACCACAAGTCGTCACCAGTCCTGCTCGCGGGCCGGGTTTGATGTTCCAGGCGCTCCGCTGCGTGTGCTGACCACCGCTGGGATCAAAGCGCGCATGGAAGCAGCCCAAATGGGGCTAGAGCGAATGGGGTCGGATGATCACACCGCTTTGCCGCTGCACCGGCTACGCGCTGGCGACCTCGGCACGGAGGCAACCAAACTCTGGAGCGCGCCGCATCGCCGATGCATCGGCGATGCGGCATGAACCTCCAACCCCATGTGCTCTGGTACCGTTTGGGCGGCCTAGAGCACACAGGGGGCATGATGAGGGTAAAATCGGGCCGGACTGGTCAGGCCCCATTATACGCCATAAAGTGGCCTGACCAGACCCCGCGCAGTCACCACTGTGAATCAGGACGCGCATGGTCACGAGGTGACACACCAAAACCTCTGGCGTCTTGAATGTTTCAATGCTTGGGGCCTAGAGCTCTTGGCTGGCCCATTCCCGGCACCAATTCTCATCATGGATCCTCCACCGTTTCCCCTGCTATGCCGAGGCGTGTTATGCAAAGTGCTGCCTGGTAGGGTTGATGTACATATTTTGCCCACCAATAATACATGAAGAAACTATGCAGCATAGATGCACCAACAAAACGTATTCTGGGGCAGAATAATTGAAGTAAACTATTGGGACTCCACTGCTCTGAAAAGAAAACCAACAATAAATGACTGGCAAAACTTTGTATCTGTGTAATTTCCGCTCTCTCGGGGCGGGCCACCCCCCTCGACGCGTGTCGTCGCGTGCATCGCCCCCCCGGCCCCTCCCAGGGCTCCTGAGTTCCCCGATGCCGTATCTCCTTGG